TTCACACATATGCACATCTAAACATACATAGATACATTTATGTATATTTATATACATCCATTTATATATTTCTGCACCACACACACACACACACACACACACACACACACACACACACACACACACACACACACACACACACACAACTAACAACAACTAACAAATTTTTAGTCTACTACCCTGACGTAATAAGTGTCTTAAGCCTAATTCTAAAAACTCAACGTTTGCTTCTTCATGTAATCTTTTAATCTAGCAATTATAGTTTTTTAGGTACAAGCTCAAAATTTTTTATATAAAACAAATATTGACGCGACTTGACAGCTTTGGACGCCATTTTAAGGTGCCAAATGGTAAAAAAGATCTAAATTTTAAAATTTTGTCTCGTTCTTGATATGAAATTCATATGCTAAATAAGTATTAATGCATAAACTTTAATTGTGGAAAAAAATTCCTAGATCTATAAAGATCTATAAAGTTAATAAAAAATAAGAGCAAATATAAAAATTATTGCTTTTTGTCGCTAATACAGACAAGGCCAGCATCGCCTTAAAACACTACCTTTATATATTGTCAATTTAGAGATTTATATAACGTTTTAGACGTTAGACGCAAGTGACGATTTTCATAAAGTTATCGCTAAAAAAAATTGCATTCGTCAATTTGTGACTACACATGGAATTTGTGGTAACACATGGAAAAAGAATGTAACCGAAAGATGTATCCTCGTTTTTCCTTCGTTTTTCGTCACGTACGAGTCCTAGATGCGCCATGTGAAACCGCGCGATCGAAAAATTCCCGGCATGCGGGAGTCCGTGTTTCCTCGCGGGAATGCATATTACACATACGGTTTCCCAATCGTTTCCCATTGTCGCGAGCGCGCTCGCTCGAACGCGGGATTCCGGTCACGATTGGCGATTGCACAATAGATCCTTCAGAAATTGCGGGCAAATCGCCCTTTGGCTGCGGCCCACGACCCGCGGCCCGCGGCCCCACGGCAAACATTGTTCGTATGGGACGAGCCGTTCGCGGTGAAAAGGCGGAGCACAATGCACGCGGAACGGGAACGTAGGAGAGCGCGAACGCCGTGCGAACGACGAACAATGATCTTCCGGTATCCGTACAGACGTGCATAAATCATCGATATGACATCGGCCAATCGTCGCCGAGCGGTAGCTGTGCCGATGCGATACGATGCGACGACGCGGCCTCGACCATAACGACGGCCTTGAAATATCGCTTGTGCGAATTAATACACTCTGACGATTAACCACCATCGCCGATAATGACTGCCTTCTGAAGGTTTATGGAGGTTACCATCTCGCCACCATCGTCGAGATCTATTGCCAATTATAATTATCAGTGCCTTCATATTCAGTGCGCATCGCTTTCGATAATCAAGTAAAACTATTCTATTATCAATTCTATTCTCTCCCGAAATCAAATTCACGATTTCTACGATGAAAAGATTCGAATATAATTAGTCGGTACTCTCCTTCTAACAATATGTGTAGTACGCGTACATTATATCAGTGAAATTTTAACGCGCACAGGAGATGCGAATTTAATTAAATGGTACTACATTTTGCGTGGTAATTAGCGCTGGAAAAAGATGGATTTTCAGATAAAACAAAGCGGGAGTTGTAAATAATGTACGAGTGTAATCAGCACGCTTAATAATTTTAATCCATTCATTATTAGTTTATCATCCGTTTGTTATTAGTAATTAATTCATCAGAATTAAAGAATTCATAAAATTAATTCTCGTAGCATAAATATGCATGTAAAAGGAGATACTTAATAGGGTTGAAATTTATAAGCGCGCATCACACCGTAACATTTTATATAGTCATTATGTTCGCATAAAATACAAAGCACTCTTCAAAAAGCTTCAGAGCTATGCGTCGCAATAAAACGTAATAACGTATAAATCAAAAGGATGCCAGGGCCAATAAAATTCGATTGAAACAGCTTTGGTACATTTGTTAAAATCCCCACTTCGACGCATTAGATACTCGGTTGCGCGACGTTGCGCAAAATGCAAAATACAAAACGGTGTAATGCATCAATAAACCCGACACGACTGGTATGGATGCAAGCAGCAAAATGCAACTATCGCGCAACTGGTATTTTTATAAAAAAAAAAGAAATAGAAAAACAAGGGAAAAACAATGGTGACGCAAGTTTTGCAGTGCGACAGAGAGAGAGAGAGAGAGAGAGAGAGAGAGAGAGAGAAGGAGGAAGGGAATTTTTGAAGAATTCCTTCGTTACTATCAATTAGCATACATCGCGTGTTTTAGCTATTTTACGCAAAATACATCCATCAGATATAATTTTTTATTTACGCGAAAACAGCGATAGCGCTCGCGATTATTCGCGTTGCGATCGTTGGCGTTTCATACACCAAAATTTCGTGTCATGCAGCGTCCATTATTCTCGGTTTCAGTATGCGGAAGTTATTGGTAAGTAAGACGGTCCGAACCCGAGCATTATCTACGAACAGCAGTTCTCCATGGACTGGGGCTTTAACTTCGGAGTCGGCGATCCTTACCACAAAGCGAGGACGATAGTTTGGCTCGGTCCAATGTGCTAGTTCGATTAGTTACATGGCTCGTACCATGGCTTATGGTTAACATCGAACGCTTAAAGCCAAACGCCCGTTGATCGTTCGCTGCATATGTATGCGTTCCATAGCGTTTCGCGGACGATCCTATGATCTGTCCAAGTTTTTCGAAACTCCCCTAACAATATCGTACTATCGTACTGAGAAGCGGCGGACTGCGGAAAACTATCTTCATATTTCTATAAAAGTTTGTTCATTGAAGCTGAAAGAAAATCCTAAGTACAAAGATATAAATCTTCTATAATGGCTCAACGGAATGTTAGCCATTAGTTATTTACGAATAGAAGAAAACTTTCAATGGAATCTCCTTGTTGGAATCTTAATGAGTATAATCGCCAAGATACTCAATGTTAATTATTGCAAGATTAAGATACGATCTCCCGCACGCGTCAAGAAAGGCGGAATACACGAAATTACAAGCAATTATTTTTCCGCGCCGCACAATAACTAACGGTTCCGCCGCGAGGAACAATGCGCCGTGTAAAATAGAAAGTCGCAAATAATTCGGTTAACGGAACGGAGAAATGATCTGACACGCGAATTTATCCGCCGTCAGAAATTTTAAAGCGGACGTAATCCGATTTTTCTCGCTCTCTCACCTCAGCCTGAAAGAAAAGCTCGCCTTTAACAGCACGCGAGACAAAAATTTCAGCGAGCTCGTTTCTCATCCGCGGCTGCGCCGACCAGCCGCCGCTTTTCTTTCGGTGCAGCCCGGCACATAACAAACGATTCGCGGTGTGTCGACTTTCAGCGAAATTTTCCTCTTATTATACCATAGCACGCGTATATTTAACGCTCGCATAATACGATCCTTAATATACATCGAAAAGAGGCAACATTTGAGTTAGCAACTATTGTAATCAATCGTGCGATCACATAGAAAAGCATAAATTAAATGGAATTATAATTCTAATTTTTAATACTTTTCTTTCCGATATAATCACATAGATGCGGAAAATTTCCTGATATATTAATTATCGTTATTATTCAGTAGTCTCTATTTTAGAACCATATAATAAAATTGTTCATTTTTAATTCCTTGACGTCGGGAAGCATATATACATGCTCTCCGCTCTGATTTCATAAATCATTGGCCCTATTTTTATGAAACTTTTTATACAAGAATTTTTGATGATGCTCTTTTCGATTCTGAAGTCAAAAATTTAAAATTTAAGATGGCGGATCTAATACGGCTGTCGTCTAAATGGTGATAAAATGCAAATATTGTTCAAAATCTATGAAATTCATTTTACAAGGGTTTTGATGATGCTCTTTTCGAATTTAGAAATTTGACTGTAGAAATTTGATTGATGATGCGTTAGTGAAGTAAGAAGCATGACTGGAGAATTTTCAATTTCGTTCTGAATATATTGTGGATATTTTTTGTTGCATACTATGTCAATAGAATGTAAATATATTGTGAATATTCTTTATTCGAAACTGTCAGTAACAAAAATTTTCGTATTGATGAGCTGCAAAGAAAGTATCAACAAAATCCCTGTAATATGAATTTCATGAGTCTCAAGCAACATTTGAATTTTTTGATCCCTTCAACGTCGGACATATTGAATCCGCCATCTTAAATTTTAAATTTTTGCTTTCAGAATCTAAAAGAGCATCATCGAATACTTCTATAATGTGAGTTTAATGGATATCAAATAATATTTACATTTTTGACTACTATGGCGGCCATATTGAATCCGCCATCTTGGATTACAGAATTTTGAAATGCTAAGGTTAGATTCGAATTTGGCGACCCAAAATTACCCTTAAACATTAGCTTTCCTATAATTGACTTTTTCAGCAACCTCTCATCGTCAAAGGGTTAAGAAAATTCATTTTTAAAATAAATTAAATATAACGTAATAGTTGAACGCTTTTCTCGTTTGAAATGTTATGAAAAGATAATTATGTATAAAAATGTGTTTCATAATTAAATAACTGTTAAATTATAAATTTAATTTGTTTCGGTGCCAATCATTCTATCTTATAAACAATTGACAAAACTTATTAGAAGTTGTCCAAACTCTGGAGTTGTCAATGACTCTGGTGTTTCTTGTAAAAATGTGACTAAACTTGGAATCCTACTACAGTATATTATTATTACAGTATATTATTATATATTATTATATCTCATAAAAATTCTAACAACGTCCTTTTCTGTTTGACTTTCGCTAATATTTGCTAATATTCGCATTTCAAGAGTACTTAATTATTATCAATCAATACTTAAGTCAAGACAATTACAGTTTAAAATGTTTCTGCCATCTTCTCTAAGAACAAAAAGAACACTGAATTTCACTATGATTTCCTAGCCTCAATTTCTACATCACTAAAATTTTGACTTTTCATTGAACTATTTCAATTATATTCATTGCAGGTATCACCCGAAAACATTGTCCAACATGCGCCGTTGAAAGACATAAGCACAAGGGGCACCCCCAACACCCTGGGATTGCGATTGGAGGTTGAACCCCGACATTTCACGAGCAACGGGCAGGCCAAGATCAAATGCATCGCCGAAGTTGGCTCGCACGTGTTCCAGGATGAGCGTAAAGTGATGAAGGCATACGTGAATAACCAAAGGCTCAGCGCTGGTGATATGCACGCGGCTGCACGCAGCATCCGTGCCGGTCTCCTCGCCCCGTTATTATCGGCGATCCTTACGTTCATCCTGCTCACAACGTGACCGATCGGCCTTCTCGTGTGAGTCGGCCTTCTCGAACAAGAATTACGTTATGACGCGCTCTTCGGGAACGCGCGGCAATTTCAGTGTCAGTTGTCCGATCCTTAAGTATAAAGTTAGGCTTAGGATTTAAGCGACGGTGAGAGCGATCAATCGGCTCGGTCCAATGACGCTTTGATCGCCTATTTAGCGATACGCCGCTATCGTACTTGTTTCGTCGGCAGATTAGTTAGGAAAGACACGTGAAAGATGAAAATCTCGTTGAGATAAGACGATCGTAGCGATCATGGAAGAATTAATTTTCCTTAATTATTGCATCGTTGCCTTGATTACTTAGGAAAAAGATTTTGTATCGGTTATTACTTTTCTCTTGTCATAATAATTGTTGTTATTTTGAATTAATGATTTGCATGAAAAGTGGAAGGATCGTTTTGATTATTTTGTAGGTAATTTTGTAGGCAGGAAATAGACGCGAACACACCTTTGCATATTTTAAATCATTTTTATAGATCAGTATTCTCTGTTAGACGAATACTTATAGTTGAAACTTTTCCCATAATTTTCACAGAAGCTCCTCCCTTTCTCTCTTCGATTTCTCCTTATCATATTTAACTCTCGATCCTTTTAACGAGTTCCGGATCCGAAAGACTCTTTAAAGTTCTCTTCGATTGCGGCTCGCAGTCGTCATTAACTTCTCATTGAAGTTTTAAGATTTTACTGCTAATAGTATAAATGTCAGAATATCACAAGTCAGATAACGCAAACGCAATGTTGTTGAATAAAAATAACGCTCGATGATACTCGGATGATTTAAATTTTTAGATTTACAATTTGTAATCTCGTTCTTCTTTTAAAGTCGTTAAGACTTTAAGTAATTCAGATAATTTTCGACGCTTCATATAAATTTATGGTAAATTTGGAGAATCATGCTTTCAATTCGTGTTTAACTATATTTTGTAATAAAGTTTGTTCCATTTTATACTCCGACAATTATCGTCGTGGGGTTCAGAACTAGCCGTACTTCATACGGCATGCACGTCGTACCGCGGAGATATAAATTCTGATGCAGCGCGTGCAAATTCCGTTTTACGACACGCATGAGATTAACTACCAAAACGCGTATAAGTCGCTACACCATAGCGAAACGCGAATTACGTATAAATCGATAAATGGATTTGCCGTGCCGGCACCAACAAAACGAGATTAATAATTCGGATATCTCGCATTGCAAAATTGCGAATGCGCAGTTGCACAGTTATATACGTACGAATAATAATTTTATTGGGAGGGAGGCTCTCTTACAGAAACGCGTTAAAGTTTAAATTTGTAATTATTTCGACAAAAACAATTTGTATGCCGTTGGTGCGATATGAATAATGACTAAATAACGTCGAAAACCCGATTTAAAGCGATATATGCATTCCGTCGTAATAAAAACGTATAATGTGAAATTCAAAATTTCTACACCAATATTTTATTATCAGTACAATATTCGTTCAACATGAGTTTCAAATCAACAATTCCATTTTTCACAGTTTTTCTTTTGTAAAATATAATCAGTCATACAGTATGTTATCTATTCACGAATAAAGTTGTATATCGCGTATGATTATCGTTTCATTGTAAAATTGCATACAAGTTTCCGTGGACGTACAATTCGATGAAATATTTGCCAATTTCCGGACACGTCACGCACGATCGTCTGACGAATCCGACGAATTTTCACTTCGCAGGATACAACCTGGTTGTTTCACGTGTTTCATTGCCGACGACAAAGGGCGTTTAGTCGCGAGGAGCGAGAGCACGGACGTTCAAGCGCGAAGAAAAGAAGAAAACTAGAAGAGAGAGAGAGAGAGAGAGAGAGAGAGAGAGAGAGAGGAGAAGAGAGAGAGAGAGAAAGAGAAAGAGAAAGGATTCTGCGAGAGGTAGTCTATTCGACCGCTCTTCGGAAAAGACGCTATAAAACGAGACGAGCAAGCGTGACGGGAAAGTAAGAGAGTGCACGTGAGAGTAAATGCAAGACGGAGAAAGTGAAACGAAGTTCGTGCAGCCGCAAAGAAAAAAAAATGCAGAGCAAGCAGAGACATTGTGTGTGACTGAAGTGGAGACGCAAAGTTTGACTTCAAGAATGAAAGTAGGTGTGATATTATAGTATCTAAGTTGCGCGACTCGTCAGTCTTCCAAAGTGGCCATTTCCGTCTATGATTCTTCGTCTTGAAAGGATACTATGAGTACTGTGTACTGTGTAAGCTTTCTATCGTTGAATAATTATCATCTGAAATGAAATTTACACGATATAACTGCGTAAATTTACAAAATTATATTTTGACAGATGTACACTCCCATTTCATTTAAAATTTGTATAAATTTTAATGAAAAATTTTAATAATAAAACGAGTCGATAACATATTCATTTTTATTTAAAAATTGCAAATTATATTGCAAATTATTGAAGATGACCGACTTTGGAAGAAAACGATTAATGGAAATAAATGAAAATTAAAGCGTGCTTTAGGCATCAGTAAAAACTAAAGTGTGAGAATGAACGCGACTGGTCTCGCCGCACATATCACATCACCGACGCACACGTTAACACGTACATACAACACGTCACATAACCCATGCACATTAACGTATTTGAGCGTGCGTATGGATTAAGAGATGGAAGGTGCAACCAACCCCCGCAGGGTGCGCAGAATACACATATATCACGAGACGGTTTCCTTTTGATCGCTATCGCTCATCGACCCAAGAGTTATTTATTGGCCGTGATAATTTACGAGTTCGCGAGAGAGACATGCTCTCCAACGCGCATAAACGTCGCTTCCGGTATTCCGGCGATATTCGACGAATCTTTGTGCCTGTACATATAACATTTATGTGTGGGATCCATTCGTGAAAAATAATGGCATATGTATTCAAAAGCCATTCCCAAAGTGCCAACAACATTCTCGCGTATCGTTTTTTTTTCTTTTTCCAATCGGACATATTTATGCGCAATGAGAGAATCGTCGGAAATGATAATAAATTAGTTTCTCATGTCTAATCAATTTCTCATGTCTAATCTACTACTATTAAAAATTTATTAGATATTAAAATCCTAATCGTTTAAGATAGCCCGGTTAAGTATCAAAATCTGATTGTAAGGAAATGATAATCGATTAGTAAAGCCAAATATCTCGACAAAGCGAAAATTGTTCAAGATGCAATTTCACTGTTTCAAATATACATATACATATTCATCTATTCTTAAAAATGTGTGTCTCTTCTATTTTCTAACATTTAATAAACCCCTTGATTTTATTAAAATTATAAAATTTGAATTTTGCTAAAGAGTTCCGCAGAGAATAACTTATTCTCGTAGATGAACTTTCTTAAATGAACGAGGTATGAATTGATTCATGTTTTATTAGCGTTAAATCGGAAAACAGTTCAAATTAAAAGTAATTTGCCTCAAAACATTTGGATTGACACATCTCTCGATTAAAGTATAAAGGTTAGGTTAAATTTTACAGTTATTATCATATTTATGAAATTATTTTTTACAATTTAGATATTTCAGAGAAAACTGACTACTAATTTGACATCAGTGCAATTAATTTCTTCAATTGAATTTATATAATCACATTCATTATTTCGCGCGATTTGTACATATCAGAGCAAATATTAAGTGCTATTATCGCGCAAGACTCATTTTCCTAATTGTATAATTTGATTGAAATATTATTTCCTTCTCTGCAAAATATTAATATCATTTTGTTGTATTTTAAAATCACATGCAATTGCATATATACACGTATTAAATGTACTTTATTTAGTAAACGCAAATAATTTAAGTGCAATATTTTCTGAATGATATCCAATTTGCGTCAGAATTATGTAATGTCGTTTCAATAATATTACGCGTGCGTTACATCACCATCGTCGAAACTTCTTGTGTTTGTTTAACGTTATTGGTGTCGCGAAACACAGCTGGTCCCAGGTGAATGCCTAAATCGACAGTGGTAGGAATTTTCTTCGCTGCGGCCTCGATCGATCGATATCCCAATTTTACGGCCCGTCGAGTCGCGAAAGCCGGAGGCAGGTTCGAGGATCTTCTTTAGCTAGATCCTTCGCGTTCTCCAGAAAGACTTAAATGGATTCCTAGCGGAAACTTAGACGCGGTAAGCGGTTCCTGTTTCGAAAGCTACTCTCTTGAAAATTTTCGTGTAAGAATTTCTGTATCTCTTTGTACGAAAAACCGAGCTTTTCGATCGAGTTTATTAATCGTATACGAAAATCAAATGTATCTCCTGACATGGAGAAATGTGTCAAGAAATATGTCAAGAAGAGATATGAATTCGTATAAGATAAATGTGGATCTAAAAAAAAATTTTAATATAAATTGATCTTTTAAAAAATTTGTACTGTATAAAAGATTTCAATACGGAGTGTAACAAAGATTTATCTACGATAGTATTTTGATAGTACAGATCGATATTTCAATTTTACAGTCTGTCGAGCTTCAAAATTCGGAGACTTCGCAAGACTTCAACTGAGGAATGTCCCGAAATCTCGCTTGTATCCCGCAAATTTGCTTCACGTCGTGAAATCCTTTACTAGATTTCTCAAGGAAACTTTATCTTTCTCCGTGCATCGCTGAATCTTACCTTTACGAATATAAGGAAAGCTCGAAACAATATGTCGCAAGAAATTTATAATACACTTCACTTTCCATTATTTGTCATTAATTAAATAAACTCATGTAAAGTTCATATCTTGAATACAAAAACTTATTATCTCGATATATTTCAATTTTATAATAATTCTTCTAAATTGTTAGAGTTTCTGTATTTCTCGATTTATAAAGAATACAATGTGTTAAAATATGTCATTAATATACAGTATAAAATGTTTACTTTATCAAGTAAAATAGAATCTTATCCATTCAATAGACACTGCCATAATTATGCGCGCACACACACACACACACAC